GTTTTCCACTATCAATATAGCTCTAGTTTTTGAAATACAGAATCTATGCCCATACCACTCTTCACTCTGCTCACCCATACAAAATTGGCATATTTTAATGTAGCGTTAGCTAGCCTGAGATAGAAGAAATACATGCTGGTTTTATTTAGAGTAGTTTGTGTTATGCTAAATTTTTAGGTCAAGTTATACTTCACAATGGTATCCTTTGATCCAAAGATATATTTGAACAGTGCAAAATTATATGACCTTGGAATCACCTTTATTAGGAACCAAATAGCAGGCAGTTGCAAAGTGTTATCTTAAAAGGGGCCAGAAAGAAATAAGAGTTACTGTACCATAAATATGGAGCCCTGGTGGTGTCGTGAGTTAGGTGTTTGCTAACCACTAGGTCAGCTATTTAAGGCCACCAGCACTCGGCAAGGAAAAGGTGAGACTTTCTGCTGTCATAAAGATTGACAGCTTGAGAAATACCCAGGGGAAATCCCACTGTGTCCTACAGGATTGCTATGCGTTATCATCAATGGGCTGGTAGTGGATTTGATATAATAAATAGAGATTCAGATATTCTAAACCCCACAGTGTGTCTGCTAGCAGTCAGACTCCTTTATTAAAATTAACATGTTCTGGTTTTGTTATAAGATGGCACAGCATCTCCACCTGTGCACAGAAACTCTGAAAGGAAAAGTTAGAAGCATGGAGCCAAGCTCATCTTTGAAACATTTAACACGAATTACCCATTGACTCCGATATAGTCAAACGTGTTCTGCAACGTTTCCTGCGTCTTTTGAAAGAGAACGGTTTAGGTCTTTGAGATGTTCTCAGGCTTGCTTTGAAGTCCGACGGGTGTGACGCACCACATTGCCCTCCTATTCTCCAGCTGTGCTCTGGGTTTGCAGGACCCAACTTGAATTTCTTTTTTTTTCAATCGTTAGGGGCTCATAACCAGCTTGAATTTCTATATAGATTGCACAGCCACCCATGCCAAAAATAAACCCACTGCCCTCTAATCAGTTCTAAACCACAGTGGCCCTAAAGGATAGAGAACTGCCCCCTTTGGGTGTGGTGTCCAAGCTTTTAAATCTTTTAAAGGCTGCAGAGTGACTGCTGGGTTCAAACCACTGACCTTGTGATTAGCAGCTCCATGCGTAACCAACGCCGCACCGTGGACCATGTACAGTTTCCCTCAGAAGTGCCTTCATACCCAATTCTTCACCCCTCGTGTCTTCTCCTGTGGATCTGAATTCTTCTCATATTTAAAACGGGGATGATAAATGAGTAAATTAGTATAACGTAATAGCTGAAAATATAGTGGGACACCATCTCTTAGAAACTAGAGAATGTGATTTATCTAATGGAATTATCTGAATCAGGACCCCAGGTAACCCCAGCCACAGGCCTGAAAACCAAGACAAGTAAATAATGTTTGTCATTGGAGTTGTATCAGAAGAACGTGGAAGTCAATTTGTTTCTCTTTGATTGAACTATTGGACAGGGAGTAAGGATAATAATTCAGTGTATTGAAGCACATTAAATGTGCTTAGATCCATTATTTTATAAGGATAAATGTTCAATCCCATCGGTCCCTATTGAAGTATGCCAAAGAATACTTTGGAATCTTGTGAGGAAACGGAAAGAAGCAAACATGTGCTTGTAAACTGTACCTCAGAGTAACCAGAAAGCTGATGAGGGGTGGTTTTTCTGTGTAGAATTCCAGCTCATAAGTAGAGAATGAACGATATCTTGGCATTCTTTCAACACTTTGCATCTCCTGGTAACCACTAGGTCGGTTGGTCCAAGGCCACCAGTTGTCCCATGGGAGAAAGCCTAAGTGATTTGCTCCTGTAAAGATTTGCAGCCTCAGAAACCCTACGTAGAGTCTCAATGTGTTGGAATCAACTCAATAGCAGTGGGCTTTGTCTTTGGGATTGGAAAAATGATAATGATGCCATGCTCGTTTTTTAAAACACAAGTACAAGGTCGCTTCTTTTAGCGATACTGCTGATCTATTTGTCGATGAAAAGATATATCATCTTGGATCTGCTTTAAAATAATCTAGAGAAGTTGGGAGAAAATAGGGGGAGCATATTAAATCCCTTGGAGGTTCAAATGATTAACACACTTTGCTGCTGACCCAAAGGTTGGAAGTTCAAGTCTACCCTTGTGGAAAATACCTGGTAAGATTTTCCAGAAATTAGCCACAGAACACTGTGGCTCTATGTTCGCACAAAGCAGGTTACTATGGGCTGGAGGCTACTTGGTGGCTCAAGGGTTTTTTGTAAATGAAATAAGATGGATCACAACCTAGTAATTGTTGAAGTTCTGTGATGAATATAAGGGTAAGTCAAAAAATATTGCTGTGAAATGGTAGAAACCTTTATTAAATCAAAATGTGAAGCTATTGTTTCTCATGATATATCCATCTGTACCAGTGTTTCTTCAAGTGAGAGGGGGGGCACTGGAGCCGTTCCGGAGTGGGGGCGCCCCAGAAGCATACCCCTACATTCTGGATTATGGATGATACTACACAAGTCTTTATTTGCCTGGGGACGCTGAATAAATTTTCTTTCTGAAAAGGAGGTAGTAAGCAACCTAAGTTTGGGAACCTGTGCTCTGAATGTATACTTCTGAAGGTAGTGTTCCCACGTCTTTAATACTTACTCAAAGAATTCTGAGCTGTTCGGTTTGCACTGGATCTAAATAATAATAATGGCACCCCCAAGGAGCTCAAACAATGTTCTTTTGAAATATTCTTTGCATTTGGGGAACAAGAAGGCTGAAAGGGGCTAAGATCCTGATTGTAGGTAAGGTAAACTGGGTGAGGTAAACTTTCCCCATGAGATTCTTCATGGACAG